AAATAAATAAATAAATAAATAAATAAATAAATAAATAAATAAATAAATAAATAAATAAATAAATAAATAAATAAATAAATAAATAAATAAATAAAACAAGCAAGCAAGCAAGCAAGCAACGACTTTAAGGCAGTATACCAATGTGGAAAACTATTTTTCTATTTGAACGGATTACGAACTGTTTCTGATGCTCTTCTATCGTGATTTTATTTTTCAATTGTAAACATACTGTTCATCATAGGGGCTAACGACCGTAGAAGTGACAGCTATGTGAACTAGTACTGTAAACATCTGATCATTAGCAAAAACACTTGTGGGTCATTTGTCATTACAATGGCATTGCTATGTCAGAAGTTGAAGTTGAGCGATAAATTTTCAGGACACTTCGATACTTTCTTGATATAACAGAATGTCTCTGGAAGAGTCAGAACCCATTTTGATTGGCTTGCCGTCCTTTAATAGATGTCTCCTGTTATTTAAAAAAATATACATCATATCTCCGTGGTGCCACGGAGTCAGCATTGTTTACGTTTTGTTTGCACTCGCCATATATCCACTGTCAAATAGTATGAGTGTATGGCATCTTATTACAAGTTGAACTATATATGACCCGCCATGATTTTACATTATGAAGGAAAGCACGTCTCTGATGCAATGTGCAACGTACACCCCTCTTGAAGCATCCGAAGCGTTGTTTGCGCGTGTGTATTTTCACATTAAAACCGTATATGTTTTTAATGTATGACATCCAATATGATGAAAAAATAACCATTATCTAAAAAAAAATGATTAAGATACCTGAGAATTGCCTGTATTGGTGTAATTTACAAGACTTATAAAAAGCTCGAAACACCAGAAGATACTTTTAGCAACGCGCCATATTTAAGTTTGAATGAGCTTAATGGTTTAATTGCTGTAATTGTAACCTTCACCAACCTATGCCGACGCACATTTGTCAATAATATCACCCCTTTACACAAATAGCTCATGTAGCGCCTTGTAATCCCGTCTCAATAATTATTAGAACACTGTACAGAATGTATAAAATATATCTAGTTACTGAGACTCACTTACTGTAATACTGTAATGTAAGTTTGTATATATTGTACATTTTGGTACAAACATATTTGAAAACAAAACAAGGTGGATCTGAAAACTATTGTGTTATGTGTTTGCCAAATATATATTAAAGGGTGTATGATTAAGAAAATGCAAAAATTACACAATGTTCATATATATGAAAACAATGTTTTTATGTAACGTCTGTGCCAGCTTTAAATAATATTGGTGCGAGGAAATTTACGACGCGGCAAAAAACTAATTTTAACATGTTTTGTCTGAATATTTCACTAATTGACAACATTAATATATGTCATCGATTTGTCTACTTCAAATGCAATTGGTGGATGTATGGTTTGAATGAGATCTTTTTCATGACTAAAAATGATACTTTTCTATAAACAGCTATCACTGCGACCTCGCCACCATATGGGCAACATCAACAATGCCATAGTAAATCACTAGTAGCATTTGCAACCCCAGGGCCTACATTAGCCGTGGTTCCGCTGTGTTTCTGGTTCGACAAAAGTTTTCTCTTACAGCACAGCGAGTAATATATCATCAATTTATTATAGTTTGTCTGTTATCTACCCCTCCTGTATAATAGACCGTTCCCCTTGCCAATAACCTTTGGCGTCTGACTACAGATTGAAATTTTTCACAACAGTGGCTATGAAGTCATAGTTTACCCATAATCCTTTGCTGGAGAATAAAAACGGTGGACTACATAGTACTGTTGAAAAGATGACAGTCTGAGATGAATATCTAGAGCATGAAAAGTGATATAAAAACCCTGTAAATTGCATTTTCATACATACAGCTCTTACATAAGGAATCATTATGTACCCTTCAAAGACCAGTAACTCTAGAGGCTTTGTGGGATAAAACATGGACGACTGACATCAAAAGTCTAACAACTTGGTAAAGAAAACACCAAACATTGTTCAAAATAAAATATTTTATTACATATTCATCAAATATACTGGAATGAGGATTATACGGTTTTCTTTGTAGTGAGGTGGGCGTGTACAAAAAGGGAGTAAACAATACGTCGGGCAATCATCAAGGCGGTGACTGGTGGTTCGAGCTAATGTTGACAACAACACCATGCACAAGACTTAAATTATAACTCAAGAATTTACTAATTTAACCGTTGTATATAATGCATTCAATAACTCACTGCGGTTGGCCTAATTTGTCAGTTTTTGGTGTCCTGGCCGACAACTGAGTCGTATCATATGCCAGTCATGGCCTCGTTAATGTCTCTTCAATATTTGTAACACAACGTCAGACATTCTTTTGGCAAATTTAACATATACACACCGGAAAAGTGGGTTATTTTCAAAGCCGAGGATCTCTCCATATGTTATGGTTATTTACAGTAACGCCGAAGAACGCGTGCCTAAAGACGGGTTATATGACCAACCAAAATGTGTTCGATCTGTTAGGTACAAATTAAAATCCCCAAATAAATGTTTATTCTTCAGTTCATATTTGTTTTCTCAATTCAAAAGCAACGACATTTGACCTCTTAGCTTGTGCTAAGGAGCTGTGCGTAAATACAGTTATCATAAAATCGTATTATTCGGCCCCATATCAGGTAATACACATGTTAATTTCATGTAAACAAACGAACATTTACACTCGTTGTGTACGTTGCATAGGAGAGGGTTCGAATAAGACTCTACGCGACAATCACCCTTTAAAGTGGATTTTGTTTGTTCTCTTTTGAGATTGCGTATTATTTATTTATTTATGGGTTAAGTATGCATGCCTTATATCGATTACTAGTATATTGATTTGCGTAGTTCAGTCGCGCCATCGTGCAGAATATTATTTGTTTCATTGACATTTTGGTGAGAGCTATCATGCTTGTATTTCATTCCTGTCTTCTAAAAAAATAGTATACACACATTGACAGAAACTCTTTGTTGAATATACACGACGTAGAAGAAAATATATGAATTGCAGAATATGTTTTGTTATTTTTTGTTAGTTTGAAATTCACAGTTATTCTTTTCACAGTCCCTTAAACTTGCATTAGGAATTCTAGAAACGTCGGCTTCTCTTGCGATTCTGTGATCATCTCGCAATTGACGTGACTTCCATAATTTGCACATGATCTTGCATACCCTCATCTTATAAATCCATCAACATAATTAAAGTATAAAAAAAATGTATTTACAAAGTGTAATGCTATTAATAATGATTATAATAATAGCTATGGTGCACAGTGAATGCTAAATATAAATTATCATGCGAATGCGGGATGGGTGGGGGTAAAACGCAATCAAACTATGCCTTGGATATCTACATCGATGAAATGATCGTTATGACAGTGAAGTTATAGTTAATGCTTTGTTGCATTTTAAATCAATTTATACTTTCCTATGCTCTTTGAAAATCTGAGAATCGTATATTAAACATTTTTATTGGTGTTACAGTTAACTGTTACATTTAAAAGTTAAACTGGCTTGGAATTGGCCTAAATATGTAGAAAACATTCTAGTAACTAATGGCATGGATCATATCTATGGAAATGAAATACCCCAAAATCCAAAATGGATAAGAAGTTTTATCAAAATCAGTAAAGAAAATGAAATAAACATGTTTACACAAAATTTAGAAAAGATGAAATCATTAAAACACTACTGTTGGATTAAAAGAAACATTAAAAAAGAAAATTACATTAATTTAAAACTAGGTCAAACTCTTTAGATCTTGAAGGTAACAAAATGGGATGGAAAAATTACAGGGGTAATGGAATTTGTGCAGTCTGCAATCAGGGTAAAGAAGACATTTACCACTTTCTTTATCTTTGTAAGGAATTTTATTTAGCATTAAAAACCTCACCGAGAAAACAATGTTGAATCTTCATCGCTAATGAATAGTTTTCTTTCAGGGGGGGGGGTGAATTATAGGTTCAATTTCCTTTTTGGTGATACACTATGGAACATAAATGAAAATGTGGGAAATACCTCATCAGCTTTAATTAGGAAATATGTAACTGATTTATGGCAATATAGAAAAGAAATGATGAATGTAATTTAAATATATGTATTACTGTTTTCATGCTGCCGATACAAAGGTTGAATAAACATTATCATTATTATTATTATTATTATAGTAATGTAACAAAACACAACATCAAGTAATGACCACATCTAAATCTAAATTGTAAACAAAGGAATTACTGTGTATATGCTTTAATTGTCTGTGGCTCGAAAATCAAAATGCACCCAAACGCGCAAAATTATCCAAGTCCACTCATCAATAATGATTTTGCCCGCCCACTAACAAATGCGCCAAATTCCCCCTGCTCCACATAAATATTGATTTCCCCCGCCCTAATAAGCACAATTCTCCCCTCACCATAATTAATTGTCATTCGCCCACTTGCAAAACATCACACGAACAGCTCCGAGGAATAGCTTCGTTGACTGTCTCTGATCTTTGGTGTAAACTATACATTTTAAATTTCTGTGTCGTCTATTATTTGCCGCGGTTTCAGCTTTTCGTTTGTTTTCATTGTTTGACAACATTTCATATAAATGATTAAACATTTGTATAATAGTAGAGAAAAAAACACACACTGAATTTGTTCAAACAAATGTGTGGAGTAGTCAAACCAAAAACAAACAAGCATCAACCTTTGACCCCTGCGAAGTCAAGCCACGTCGAGGAAGCTTCTGCTGTGTTTTGTTGCTGTGTTGGTGAAATTTTGTGTGTGATTCAAGTTATGTAGTTATTGAAAGGACAGAGTATCCATGCCGAAGCGTTATTGCATCGAAGGAATCTGTGAATACGTGAAAACATTCGACCGTATGTGATCACAACCTTATTGTATTACGAGCAGCACACGGAAGTCACCTGCCGGTATAATCTCTCTAAAGCTCACGGCTGTGAAACTTCCATCCAATCATTGCGACGCTCCTTGTTGTCATTACTGTAATTAAGAATATCAGTAGAACAGTGAATTTATTATGACATTTGTTGTACTTGATCACGGTTACTAAAAAAGAACAGTGACTTGATGACGTTAAATAACTGTTTTGAAACGAGTCTGTGTTCACATTCTAACTGTGTTAGTACGATAATTTAAATTTCGTTTTCACCATGATGCTTAGAAGACGGAAACAAACTTTGAAGGTAGTAAAAGAACTTGATGCATTTCCGAAAATACCCGAGAACTACCAAGAGACAACAGCTACTGGAGGGACGGGTAGGTCTTAACTTGAAAGCAAATGATTGAGAATTACTGGTAGTATTATTCATCTCTATAGAAATTATGACTAAATTTGTACTTGGTCAACAGTGAGTGAGTATTGAAGTCCGAGATCATTCACAGAACATTGTGGGGGTATTATATAACAAAATGATCGTCATGTATGTGCAAATTGTGGTACATATCTGATGATTCATGTGGTTTCTATGAATTCATTACTGAACACTATTCATGAGCATTTTATTTGAAATTCAAACACATTAAAAATTGTTATATATAAACATTATTATGTAAATTAAAGGTATTTCAAATGTACGCCAATCAGACATCAATCGTATGCAAACTGAATGTGAATTGTAGGCGAAATAAACGTGAATTGTATGCAAATCAAACATTATTATGTAAATTAAAGGTATTTCAAACGTACGCCAATCAGACGTCAATCGTATGCAAATTGAATGTGAATTGTAGGCGAAATAAACGCGAATTGTATGCGAATCAAATTGTATGCTGTCTTCACACTCGTATATTTCAATTATCCAGCATATAATAAATGCACCTTTTAGTAAATGTATGCTTTTGTTAGAGATGTTCCTCTAATACCTCAAATACTATAATATAACTACATGAAAGATCTGAGTTCAACCTTAAACTAGATGTATAAACTCAAACATGACTGATGATGATTTAACTTTTATTTTTCAGTTTCAATTTTAACATTTTCACTTATTGCAATACTGGTTATATCTGAAATACAATATTATTCTGAGACGACTATGAAATATGAATATGAAGTTGATACTGATTTGACGAGTAAATTAAGATTAAATATAGATATCACAGTGGCTATGAAATGTGACTGTAAGTATTCATTTTAAAATGCACTTTTTCTGGAAGCCTGATTTATGGTGCTTCACTTGTACTGGTACAACTTGTGGGCTTTGATAAAATGTACATCAGGCTGCTAATATGATGAGAAACTGCTTGCTTCCATCTTATCATCCTCCCAAGAGTAGAATATAAGGGAATTCAGGTGGTTGGCTTTAGATAATGAGTTCCAAATTAAAAACTGGTACATCATTTGAAACTGGTACATCATTACACTGCTGCATATATTCTATAAATAATTACGCTCTAATAAAAAAGCAATATGTGATTTTATATGCAGTGATTTTGTATACCATGCCGTAGCTCTTTGTTAATTAATATTATGGGAACCATAATTTGCTCCTGCGCATTGTGACTATCACCGCCCCTCAAATAAGATCAAATCACATATTCATTTTAGGCGTTATTGTAGATGAGAAATGCAGAGTTTGGTTTATTTACCTCATCATTTGGAATATTTAATACACTTAAAATTATTATTTTCAAAGGTTTCAAACCCCTATTAAAAACCTGAAATGTACATATTCCTATAAACATACCCCAAGCACAACCCTAATCCTAACATTCCCCACCAGGAAAACTTTATAATTCTAAAGTATTGCACTTGTGATTTGTGCCCATAAAAATAGCATTCCTAAGACAGGACTATCACGCACATAATACTACACCAATGGTTCATTTTTATTTTGATCTCCCAAACTTGCCTAAAACAATACTATGCCAATTTGCATATTGGATCAATTTTGGATAATTGTTGCGTCTCTTGTCTAATATATTGATTACACTGGAGCTCTTTCTATTAAAGCGTTTTTTGATTTTCAGATATTGGAGCAGATGTTTTAGACATGACTGGTGATACTGTGAGTGCTTCATTCGGCTCACTGAAAGAACAAGCCGTGCATTTTGAACTATCACGAAGGCAAAAACAGTGGCAAAAGTAAGTCTATGCAAATATTATAATAACACATGAGGAAACCCTGGTTCATTTCACCTAGAAAATAACCTATCAATGTGTTCTCACATAGTGTTTGTTTGTGTCTTCGCGTTACTGATGCACTTACCACTCTGTCAATTTCTATCTTTTTTTTTTCTTTATTCCCTAGTTATAAATCAGTCTAGTATATTTTAGGCATTGAAAACTGAAATTTTGGTTCTGGTTGACTGCACCATTACGAGATAATATTTAAAGTTGCATTCACATGTTGTGAAACATCACGCCCAGTAACAAGCTAAATCCATAAAAGCTGTGAAAATGATGTTTTTTCTAAAAAATATGACTTTCATCCATTTAATTTTGAGAATACTAATAGAGGGTCTTATCCTTTGGACAAACATACATGTACCTACAATGTAACTGACTTTCCAGGACAAACCACTAAATGAGTGTATTTACAAATTTCAATGTCATATGTCAGTTCATTATGCACAAAAGCATTGCTTATTGTTGTGACTAGTATTTTATCATCAGGAAAAACTAAGTGTGATTAAGGTAGCGAGAAGGGAAATTTTCACTTTTTTCTTGATTTTTCAAAAATTTATAAAACTGTTACTTTAGACCTTGATACATCACCCCAGGTTTACAAAAGATCGAAATTGCGAAATAACGTTGCTCAAATTAGTGTTTTAAAACACTAGCAGAAAAGATTACAACTGCCGTTTCGTGGATATTTGCATAGTGTTTATCTT